CCCTTGCGCACCACCCGCGCACAATGCTGGGTAACACGACCATCTCCCCAGCACACCACCGGAGCACCATGCTGGGTAACACGACCATCTCCCTCGCTCACCACCCGCGCACCACGCTGGGTAACACGACCATTTCCCTCACGAACCACGCTGGGTAATACGAGCATCTCCCTCGCGAACCACGCTGGGTAATACGAGCATCTCCCCTCGCGCACTACGCGCGTACTTTGGGCAGGGACTCGAGCACTAGAGCCGTCTTGGCTGCGGCTCCGTACTGCTTGTAGGCGGCTGCCTTTACACGCATCCTCTCCGCCGCCGCTTTACCGACCGCTTCTGTGGCCGTTGCCTCCGATCCACCAATCAGCTTAATTCTCTCGGCGTCCGCCTGCGCCGCCTGCACCGTCTCTGTTCTGCCGAGACAGAGAGGAAGGGGAGCATCGATGAAACAAGAGAACGTCGACAAAACGAGAGCGTTGATAAAACAAGAGAACGTCGATGAAACAAGAGAATGTCGACGAAACAAGAGAACGTCGATGAAACAATAGAGCATCTGCCCTCCCTCCCTCCCACGTGTCGCACCGCTTTCATTCCTCCCTCTCTCCTCCCTTCTGCCCCTCCCCTCCTCCCTCTCTCCTCCCTTCTGCCACCCCCTTCCTCCCTTTCTCCTCCCCTCCTCCCTCTCTCCTCCCTGTTCGTTACGGATCTTCTGCTTCATCTTTGCCGCCTCGAGCGTGTACGCGAGCTCCGCCTCGGCTTTTTGGGGGGGAAACAAGAGAGTGTCGATGAAACAAGAGGGCGTCGATAAAACAACAAAGCATCTGCACGTCGCCTTCGTTGCTTTTTATGCAAGCGGCGCAGCCTTTGCTTTCTGCATGCACAAGAGAAACAAGAGTGCATCGACGAAGCGAGTGTGCGTTGAAGAAACAAGAGAGCATCTGCGTCAGCTGTGCTTTCTCTAGCGTGTACCTTTTATAACCTTGACAAATCTACTAAACCTTTCCCGACCTTCCTCAACCTTTCCTGATCCTCCTCGACCTTCCCTGACCTTTCCCGACCCTCCCGAACCTTTTCCAACACTTCCGGACCTTCCCTAACCTTTTCCAACCCTTCGGTGACGTTCCCCTGACATTCCCTGGCGTCCATGCGAAGCTTCTCAGCCTCCGCCTCCTGCAACCCTGACGACGACGGCGTGATTATGGCTTCGCGCGGTTACCGCGGCGACCGACCCGCACAGCTAACGACGGATGCTGAGGCCGACGATGACGTGATTACGGCTTCGCGCGGTTACCGTGGGATGCTGGAGCGATGTGATCGAAATCTGGTCGTCTAGACACTTAAAGTACAATCAACGTTGCAATTTAACGCCCGTCACATCCATCTTATACCGGCATCGCCAGCGCCACTTACCTTTATGCAAGCACCATCTACCTCGATGTCAGAACACCCGCGCCATCTGCTTCGATGCCAGCGCCACCTACCCCGACACCGGCGCCCCCTACCCCTGCCACTGGCGCCACCTACCTTGATTCCCGCGTCGCGGTTGGCCTCGGCGACGGCGATGTCGGCGTCCCACTTCACCGCAGCCGTCT